TCTTCCTGTTAAAAGGGAGTTTTTCCTTCCCACTGTCGCCAAAGTGCTTGCTCATAGGGGGTCATATGATTGTTGGGTTTTTCTCTGTATCTATTATTGTACGATCTACTGTGCAACATAAAGCGCCTTGAGGTGACTGCTGTTGTGATTTGGTGCTGTATAAATAAAACTAAACTGAATTGAATTGAATTATGAATACTCAACGAGGAAGTGACCTAGGATTTTGAAACTGATACCATAGCTGCTAAAATTCTCACATGAGCCTTAATCACAGTGACCCTCACGTGAGAGGCGTGGGCGTGTCTGGATTAGCTTCCTGTCTCTCTCACAGCAGCATTTCATTTTACGTCCTCCTCCTCAGCCACCTTTTCTCGCCATGTTCCCTAAGGCTCAGTCCAACACACAGCAATGTCACATATAAAATATAATAGCCCACATTTTAAGTACTAGTCTTATTCTGTCTGCATTTTCAAAGGCTTCACACAGAGCAGCCACAAATGTGGACTCAGTGGGACGAGTATGTCAGGCAGGTGTCCAGTGAAATGGTCCTGAAAGACACACAAATCATCAGCCTGCAGGAGAGAGAAACCACACTAAGGACTGAGCTGGAGCGGAGCAGGAAACAGACTGAAAGGTGAGAGGGGGAAAGAAGAAATACGAAGTCGGGAGTGCCATGGAGGTCCTTCCTGATGCATTGAATGGAGTAATAAACAGGGAGTATGGGCATCATCTCTTTGTATTTATAATTTCCTGTCAGGTACAAACAGCATCTGAGAGCTGGACTCAACAGAGAGAAAGTCTTGGAGAAGAACAGCGTGCAGATGGAGCTGGAATGGCAGCGACGCTTTGAAGATGTAAAGGCGGACTACTACCTTGCAAATGAGCAGCTAATACAAGACCTGATCGAGGCCAGAGACCAGGTCAGTGGCTCACACATAACCCAACCCATTCAATAGACTCTGTGTGCACTTTAGCACTAATGCTAACTGAAATACCTGCAGTGATGGAAGCTGGACAGTTCACTGCAGGACAGAAAAAAGAGACTTTTTTTCACGTGTTTTCTGTTACACGCGTGTTCATGTCAGCAGGTGTCATTTAAAAAACGAGAAATGAGAACACATCAGATCTACGCTCATACAGACTGATGGTAGTGTTAGGAATGAAAGGACTGAATGATGGACATGATTACAGAGAGATTCGGATGCAGCAGGCTAGTCTGTGTGGATGACATTTCTTTGTAGCAGTTAGAGATGATACTGAGGAGTTTGTATGGTCCTCACGTTGCCTGACAACATCGGGGCATGCTCCTGATGAGATAACAGATCTGGCCCAGGGCATCATGGAGCTCCTGAACAGTCAGAGGTGCAACCTGGGAGTGTCTCTGGGGCCGCGACATAATGTCCCAGAGGTGTCCTACTGAATTTACATCAGGACCCACTGCACCAGTGTAGGGTCTGACACTGGCACAAGGATTTCATCCCAAGATGTAATCAGGATGTCCTTACCAATCCCTTTTTTTTTTTTTTTTTTC